AGGGCGGAAGATTTTCGAACGGTCGTCCTCTACATTTGTAGGTTTCTACAACAGGCAGTTGCTGTCCATTTGAAATTTAGATTCATTATGAATATTCTGCTTAAACAACCTATCAAAGGTAATTAAGACGTAAAACGTAAACGGCCGATATAGTACAGATGGTCCATCAGAGCGGCGGGGATCTATAAATCCTATGCCAATAATTTTGATGTGGGGGGAAACGGGGGGTACCCGAGAAAACCCACTTTCATTGGTAACGACCAATCCGTTACCAGTGCCCGGTTAGCGAGAATAAGTAAGTAAGAAGTAAGAGCAAAGTGAAGTCGTGCTGGGGTGGATTATAGATTAAATGATTTACGGATTTTTCTGATGTTTGCCAGGGTTTTACTGGGGGTGTAGGTTCAAGTTCTGGTGTGGTATTGATGGCGTGAAGTCTTCTGTGTCGCTGGTAGGTAGGCGGAGAGCACGGAAAGGTTCGTCGGGTAGGTCACGGTCGGGGGATGTGTCGATTACGAGAGCTTTGAGTGACGAAGGTGCAGAAAGTGAGACTGGGCTGAGGGGCGGGTTGTTGGCATGTGTCACTGGTTACTGATAGGACTGGCGGCTGGGTCTGGGTACCTTTCATCCTTCTAGTATTTGTAGTTTGGGTCGACTTGTCTAGTGTTTCAGGAGTGGGTGAAGTTTGAGTAGCCTGGTCAATTGTAACAGGATGGGTGGTAGAGTACTGGTTGGGGGTGGTTTTCTTTTGGGTGTTGTGGAACATGGGCTTGAGGGGGGGGGTAGGAAAGTTAGGGGTGGGTGAGGCTTACGGTATGGTTTTTCTGCCTTGAAGTGATGGTATTCAAGGTAGCAGCCGTGGGTGAGGATGGAATCTGCAGTTATCTTGGAAGTTGTGACAACTTTCATGAAAGTGGAGGGTGAAACTGTTTTCTTTGATGGGATATGGTGGACTGCGTGGATTGCAGAGTTGGTTGTAGTTTCAAGGGCTTGATGAATTTCCTCTGGTGTAAAGAATGAATGGACGTTCCTGAGAAATACTGTGTGGACACTGGTATTGCTTTTAGGGGGTTGGCAAGTGACGAGAGGGTTTGAAGACCAAGGGTGGCGAAGGTAGCGGAAGTCCTCGAGTGACTTGGGTTGGAGGAGTATACCTCCCCTTCGTAGACGTTG